CAATAATGTTGAATGAGGCAAATTATTTCCATTAACAATAAAATACTTGTTTTCAATAACTGTTCTGTTTTTTGCTTCGTAGAGTCGACCCCATCATACAGAAAGACAATTGCTTTCTTAAGTGCCTCTGCAAACTTGAAATTGGATTGTTTGCCAAAACGTGACACAGAACATTTTACACATCTGCAATTTGTTCTGCACTTGGAAATGAATTTCTATCAATTTTCTCTACATCCATGAATAAATGCCCTTGCTCTACATAATGAAATTCAAGGCACCACTGAAATTTTTTTGTAAAGAGAGTTCATTGTGGAGAACCCCTATCTATGACATGGGGACTTGGGAGAGAACCCAGGCACCCCATGCCTATGGCACAGAAAATAATCCTCAAACTGAGAAGATTGTTTTAGACAAGATTGTTGTACAGTATACGAGAGAGCATATTCACCTGTATCATGTGGTATTCCTTGAGCATATTATGGTGAGCCACAGAACTAAGAACTATATGCAGTGAGACCCTTATATGCAGAAACCTTGACATATATGGACAATTTGACTGAGGGACACTTGAAAACCAAAAAAAATCAGGCCCAACATTTGGACAATGGCTCAAGTTAGGGACAATTTCTGAAATTTCCCCCCCAAAAAATTCTTTTTACATTTTGATATCTTTCAAAGAAACCAAGCTATTTATATCTACAAAATTAAAAAGATATTTCAAGTAAATTCACTTCAATTAATGATCAAAAGCAATCTAATTTTGTGCTTCTTTTTGCAGTTGTTTTCATCATCTGTCCATATTCTATAGCAAGACTTATTCTTTTTCTTTGCTTTTTGATCTCATTTTGAAACCAAAAGATTAGATTCTACATTATTCTGCACTGTTGTTTTCTACAACTTTTGAAGTTGAGGGAAACAAATTTCATAAAAAATTTTCAAGGACTTTTTATTTCTAATTTTTGATAACAAGGAAAACCAATTGAATACATTAGCATATTGAAGTCTGAAGGAAAATGAGACTCAACTTGGGGAAATTCCAAACATCAGGACACTCTTGATGCACCAATTACGTCTGCATCTTGGGGTCTCAATTTGATAAGTTCACTGAAATTCAATAAGCAATATAATTTTATGGATTATAAAATTTAATGCGCATTGACTTTTTGGAAAACCTATTTCTTTGGCTTGAGCTGGGGGAAATTAGCAGCTTCATTGGTGGACCATGTCCTTATATACTGTATATGAACAGTTGGTCATCCATGAAATCTCACACTGCATGGTCAGAGCAATATAAAATAGGACACCTGCAGCAATGCTGACCCTCTGTCACATGTAGCTTCAATGCTTCAGTGGGAAGACGTGCATTGTTTCAGTTGGTTTGTTGGTTATTGAAACTTCAATTAGAAATCAACTTTCTGGTGTTGGAAAAGTGAAATAGTGTTCATCATCATCATCATGAAGGTATGCATGATGTTCAAAAACGTACCGAAAGAAAATGACTGATTTTAGAGTGGGTATGTTTAATGTGTTTCCCAATAGATTTTCTGCTCAATAATCTCCTGCTGCTTTTTGGTCATACAACTGATTACACCGAGTCGTGCAGAAACTGGATCCATTTTGACCCCACAGCTGGATTTGGCATTTCCGCGGTAATTATATTAACAGCTTTTTGTATCTTCCATTTTCGGTTTATCAAATGTAATTCTTCTTTGTGCGTGTTTTTTTTTTCAGCATCTCAGTTGGAAATCTTGTTCCAAGTGATGAAAACCGGAGAAAGGGAAAAGGACATCATGGGTTCGTACAATATGAACAAAAGATTGAGCAAAAAATTGTCATGATATGTAAAATAGGGTAAAAGTATTTATATCGAAGTTTCCGCAAAGGGTGTGCCATTTTTTAAAGAACAATTCAGTTTTTGACCCAGATATTTCGATTTAAATTTACAGAAACCCCCAAAAAGTTTGAATTTGTTCTTTATTGTCTGGGGAAGTGGAAAATTTAAATAATGCTGTAGTCTATCAAATATTTGAAGGAAAACTCAATTCAATTTCCCCTGTTGCTGTTATTGCCTTCTCATGTTGGACTGGAGTACAAAAATTAGAACTATTTTATTGTTTGGAATAAATTCCCCATGGAAAAGTTGATCAAATAAAATATTAAAATTTGGTGAGGAATGACTGCTGTTACCTTCAGATTTCCAAAAAAATTGTTTATGAAAAAAGGAAGACCAAACTGTGAAAACATTGGGACCCTTACAGAATGATTTCTTGTATTGATGCCCATATTTAAAAAAAAATTTAAGTGAAAAACTTGGACTCGACAGTTTTTTGAACAAGTACAGTATAGTAAACCTTTTTGCAGAAACTTCAGTACCCCCATCTTTCCATACAGGTGGTACCTTGCAATTCAAGCCTAATCCTTTACCAAAGTAGTGTCAAATTGCAAGACACTGTGAAATTCAAAAATATTGGTAAAAAAACACAAAAAGTGGCCACTTCCCAAGCAGGGCAAGGGTCAAATTGCAAGTCAACCTCCCTGCAAATTTGACCATCAAAGTTCAGGGCAGTCAAATTGTTGGAAGTCAAATTGCAAGGTTCCATCTGTATTTTAAATACACAGTCCCTTGTGGAAATGAATGTTAAATCCATCTAATTATTGTAGGTGGTCAAGCAGCAGCAGTAGCAGCAGTGGATGGGGAAAGAATTCAGGAAAAAAGAAGAAAGGACATCCAAAGTGAGTCGAGGCATTTTTTTGTGTTTTGTTACAAAAACAATTTCGCATTTTAAAAACGGAATTTTCGAATCTATTTTTGCTTTCATTCTCCCAACAGATGGAGTTCCTCCAGCTCCAGTGGTTTCGGGAAGAAAAAGTGAGATACTTTGTAGACGCAATTTCAATTTCAATTGGGTTTAAAAAAATAAAAATGAAAATTAATATCCTGACAGATTTGGATTCTCGAGCAGCAGCGGAGGATGGGGGAAAGGCAAGTGAGTGTACAGTATATTATTATGTTATTCCCGTTGAATAATTCAATTATGGTATTAAAATCAGTAGTTTTAATATGTATAGAGGACTAATTTAGGAATTTCCTCAATTCTAGAGCATTTCTTTTATAATGCTTAGGATATGCATCCATTCTGAGTCAAAGTACGACATTATCTCAATTGTTCATCATGTGGATTGAATTCACAAAAAATAACTATATTAAAAAATATTTGATTTCCAGAGTTTTTTTCTGGGGGTGGGAGATTTTGTCTCCATTTGACGAGGTCATTATTAGAGAAAGTATTTTCTGGATAACTAGAGATACATGAACCTGAGTGAAAAATAATAAATTGTGGCCAGCAACAATTCGTGGTGATGAGATTCTACTGTATACAAGTATTTTGTTTTTGTTTTTCCCAAGAAGAAGCCAATAATAGCCGCATTTTTTTATATTTTGTCAAATAATAGGAAATTCGGATTTGGGAGTTCCAGTGGAAGCAGCTCATCCAGCAGTGGATGACCAGGAAAAGCAATGCCTATTTATAATGGCATTACGCATATTCAAATGAAATCCTTGCAAATACAATGCTATTTCAAGCATTTGACAAATACATGCTGTATCCCGTAGTTTTTTTAAAGGTATGATAATGAGCATGAAATATGCTCTTTAATTTTGCATCCTTGAATGTTTTTTATTTGCTTGATAAAAAGCAAGTTGCTAAAAAAAAGAGTTGATGGGCTTTTTCTTTATTTGGGAAGTGTGCAAAGTTTGATTTTTGCCTGTGCTCTGGAATTTTTGACAAATTCAAATCATTCTGATTTTCAGCAATTGTGGAAATACATGTACTGTATATATTTTCCTCTATGTTATATTCTGATGAGAAACGGCCTTCCCCATGTTCTGGGCTACTGATGATGATGATTTCAGTGTCTAATTTCCAAGTTTTTTTTATATGATTTTCTCAACAAATCCTTAATTGAATAATTTTCCAATTGAGAAACTTTGCTCCCTTTGGTGTGACACAGTTTTAAAATTTTGTTTCTGTATTCTGCTGCTACTGAAATTGACCTGTATTGAAATTCAAGATGAAATTTTTTAGGTAATGTGTATTCCTTATGAGCATACTCAGCTTTTGATCTTTGAAAATGAGAAAATGTACAGGCATATTTTTGATTTCTGGCTATTAAAACTAAGATTTTCTATCGTCAAATATTGTTCAACTGAGAAAATATATACACTTGTGTTCCGTATAATAATTCATATACAGGTGGTACATTGCAATTTGACCTCTCAAAATTCAACCATCCCACAATTCAAAGGTTGAATTTGCAGGGAGGTTATTGAGGACAGAAGTCTCCAATATAATTTGGTGTCAAGTATTGGATAAATGAAACAAGTGAATCAGTCCAGGACAGGACCGGGAATCCTTTTAGGAATTCCTAAGTTAAGAGTAAAATATATTTTGAGGATAAACGAATAAGCAAATAACAACTCAATGAGCTCGGGCTTGGATAACTTGGAATAAATGCACAACTGAATCGCATAACTTGATCTGATAATGGATTATGAGGATGCAGCTTATATAGTATTCTCAATAATTAACCTTCACAAGGTTTTACTACTTCCAATCTGAGCAGAAAAAGTTATTGTCAAGGATGCTAAGGTGCCAGGTGCATCCTGTCACCGTAGCCGGTACCAGGATGTGCCTGGTACTGCAATTTTGAGGAGGGGAGGTTATTTCTACAAACTTCTAAGTATTGTATTGTACATTAACATGCATGCCCAACAGAGGTTGATTTGAAATTCAACCCGTGCCCTGCAATTTTACCTGCTTTAGCCTTTTTTTTAAATTTTTGTATTGTACTGATTTTTTTTAAATTAACAAAGTGTCTCACAATTAGACTCCTTCGCAATTCAACCCGAGTTTGGCAATGTATTATGGTCAAATTGTAAGGTACCACCTGTACTAGTGGTTTGGTTTCAATTCATCTTTTCAAGAAATAAATGAGGGGAATTTGTTTTGCATTCCTGCATGTGAGCTAGGAAAGCTTCTATATTTTTCTTGCTGCTGATCAGCACAAAGAAGACAGTGATTTCTAAACTGTTCTTCACTTTTATGTATATCCACTCCCAAACACTATGATGATGCCCACTGCAGCACTCGACCTTGTCTATATATAACCAGCGTGAAAGGTCAAATTGTGCTGCTCTTGAATAATGTGGGTTCGTTTAGCTGATTACCCAGCCTGCACCAATTTTTCGGCTTCCGCGTCGATCCAATCCCTGTAGGCGGACACTTTAATCTCCACACTGGGGGCAAACACGTTACAATGCCTCACACGGGCAGTAGCAGCAGCCAAATACGCGGATCGGATGCTGCTGCCGGTGCCGGGAGCGATGGCGGGACCAAGGACTCCAGCAGCGCTCGTCATTGGTCGTCTCAAAAGTATCTCGCCATCTTGGTTTCCATCGGAGGCTCTCGTCCCGCTGCATCCAACGTCTTTCCCGAAGGAGACCACTCCCACTTGCACAGCGGCCGCGCCCAACTGGGTCACTACTGGTCCTCCACTGTCGCCCTTGAAAGGAATTCACTGGTGTGTATATATATAGGCGTGCAAAAATCCAAGCAGGTGTGTTTCCTTCTTCGAGTTAAAATTAGTGATTTTCTGGACCTTGTATTAAACTGCTCTACATTTACGTTTATTGACAGGATGACAGCAGATATACTGATGTTGGTGGGAAGGCTTCATTCGCCAATTAATCATTCCTCATATCAGTTTGTAAAGCATCAAGTTTCATGTTACGTACCCAAGTTCAACTTTTTTTTTCTCGGGCCCAGCAAATAGTAGCTCAAGAGGGTTTAAAAAAAGTCGAATGCAGGTGGTACTTTGCAATTGGACTTTAATTCATTGCCAGACTACAGTCAAATTGCAAATCTGTTGAATTGCAAGACACTCTGTGATATTTAAAAATATGTTTAAAAATGATAAAAAGTGGCCAAAGCAGGTGGAATTGCAGAACAAGGGTTGAATTGCAAGTCAATCTCCCTGCAAATTTGAACATCAAATTGCAGGACAGTTGAATTGTGGGAGGTTGAATTGTGAGGTACCACCTGAATATGCAGTTGATTCTGGGGGATATATTTAAATTAGGAAGGTCTAAATAACATGTTAAACTTGTTTACAAATGAGGATTTTCACTTATGTTCACAATAACAGTTATATAAGGCAGGAAATTTGTGTATTCCTGAACTGTATAGTATGAGCTCAAGTAATCAAGCTAAAATACAGAGAATGCACTTTTTTATGATGTTGACACAAAAAAGTTGTTGGAATAAAATCTTCCTTATAACAATTCAAGTAAAAATAGTTGAATAAAATAATGCTTTAAATACATGAAAACAGAGTTTTATGCACAAAACATGAGGAAAATAAACTTATTCTAAAAATGTCCTGGGATTGTGGTCTGATAAAAGGGTGGGGCCAAATTCTCATCCTCTATATTAAATGAGAATTTGGCCCCACACTTGGACCCCTATCCCAGGACATTTTTGGGAAAATTTTATTTCCCCCATTTTTTGCATGAAGGTCTGTTTTGGTGTTTTTAAGCATTATTTTTTAATTGGGATTCTCTATAACTTTGCTGTTTCCTGAAACATTTAGTTTACAAATTTTGAAAAATAATGAATTTTGCAGCCATCTATGTTGATGTTTTGCAATCATAGTCCAAGTTGATCAGACAAAGTAGAAGATTCTACATTACTGCATTTTTACATTATTACAATAACGTTGTAACACACGAATCAATTTCTTGGTTGAAATGTATACAGTTTACAGATCCCTGCAGTGGCATGTCTTCAGCATACACATATATAACCGCATCATCCAGCAATTCGGTAAATTTCTGATGTCCAGAAGTAAAATTCAGTGAAAGCTGGGAAATTCAATAAAATCAGTAAAAGCTGGGAAATTCAATAAAATCAGTAAAAGCTGGGAAATTCAATAAAATCAGTAAAAGCTGGGAAATTCAATAAAATCAGTAAAAGCTGGGAAATTCAATAAAGTCAGTAAAAACTGGGAAATTCAATAAAATCAGTGAAAGCTGGGAAATTCAATAAAATCAGTAAAAGCTGGGAAAGCCATTCTTTATAAAGCACCTATTGGGTGAATGCAATTTTCGTGGTTGAAATAGTGAAAGTATGCAACTTACAGAACAGACACTGCCATTGCCACGTCCAGAATCACAGAAGTGTGAGTTGGAGTCGAAGAGGGCTATCAGGTTCGGACAGTTAAAATGCCTCTCACAGTCTGCATTCAATCGCACATCTGTTTCTGCATACAGCAGGTCCGCAGAAGTCACTATTTACATGAGAGGAGAGTTTCAATCAGCAGAAGCCAGAGTAAAACCTTGTTATAATAAAACCATTTACTTGAAACCTTTGAAAAAGTTTTACAGTAAAATCTCATTATAACAAATCTGGTTATTACACATTCTTAAGCACAACAAATTTTTTCCAAGTCCCAGCAGTTTCCCATAGGCGCGATGTTATAAAAAATATCCTTTCAACAAACTTAATGTAGGCCGTAATCTCATTATAACAAATGTTGGCCATGATTCTGTTCCTATAGTCATCCACATATATATGGATTATAGGAATTTTTTATAAATGGCAGAAAACTTATAAAAGTTTGAAAGGTGCCTAAAAGTTCATAAAAAAAGACTTCATGCAGAGAGAACTTATTGGTGTTTCAAAAATAAAAAAAAATTGCACGTTACTTGGAAATTCTTCAGCTCCATTTTAGAATGTATGCCTTTCTTGGAAGTAAACAGTACATTGAACAAATTGCCTTTATTTCAAAGAGCATAGACAGCTCTAATGAGTGGGTATGTGCATTCTGAGAATTTCTACCTTATTTAATTTTGTTTCTTTTTTCCAAGAAAAGCAACACTTCAGTACAAAGGCTGCTTTTATGGAAGAAAATTGCTATTCATTTCAAAAATTTTCCCTTTATATCATCAGAAATACTCTCACTAATTATGAAAAGTTTTGAATTATCTGTTTCAGATACACTTTAAGGTGATTAATAACCATTTCCCACAAAATTTCAGTCTAAAATGTTTTCAAAACCAAGAATCTCAATCATTTTTTTATAATGAATTTTAACAGGCCCTCAGGAGTTTGTTCTAACAAGATTTTACTGTATACAGTAATGGAAAACTGTATTTTAAAACAAGACCCAAAGACCTAATAAGGGAATGGGAATTAAAAAATAAACCTTCTGTTAGGAAACTTTGGAAAAGTTTTACAAACATTATTTTTAAAAACGGTGAAATTGGTTTCTGAAATCAGAGTTTTTTCCTAGCCATATCAGAACTCTATCACACAAAATGACAAATATATACCCAGCTGATAACAGCAAACAGTGATGGTCACATCAAAAGCTACAAGAAATTCCTCTCTAGAAATACTTTTTTTATACTACATTCTCTATTGAGTGACAATCTTTACCCAACAAAAGCAGTTAAACTATATATACTCAGAAAATTACCTTGGAATGGCAGGATGAAAATCTGGGAAAAAATGAAGAAGTGTCCCAACAAATTTTGAATTAAATGTAGTAGAACATCGATTAAAATCAAATTATTGTATTGCAAAAAAGCTTTGAAAAATTATTTCACAAAGATTTTCATGACTTCTTTCATTTGACTTCCTGCCTTCAAACTGATGGACCTTCAAAAAAGTGCATCATAATACATTTTTATGATGATCCAAGTTGCAAATGCGCATTAAATCAGTGTTCCCCAGCAATGTTTTTGCACCTTTGAACCAGCAAATTCCCAAAAAAGGTTCTCCAGACTGGCAATGTTTCATAAAATGTTTACAGACTTGGAAAAAAAACGTTGCTTGATAGACTTCATGGGATGTTTATAAAAGTTTCTGCTTCTTGCCAAAATTAGGTTAAGCACTGGTGAAGCAGCTATTGCTGAATGCCATCAAAAACTTTAAAAAGTGGCCAAGTGAGAAACATAAAGGGAATCAGAAATACAAGAAGTAAGAGAAATGCAGGAACAATGTTTCTGCGTGGGCAAGAGAGCCCCCACGACTGCCAAAATCCATGATGGTAATAAGTTTGCCATCACGTCCAAATAGACAATAAGGCTGAAAAAAGGGGCCAGAAATACCTTGAAAGGAAGGACTGTTTCAACAATGAGAAATAGGGTCTCCAAGGGTTTTTGTAACCAGGGTATAAAAACCCTTGGAGAAAGCCTGAAACGCACACTTCTTGCCAGACGTTTGTGACTACTGGAAGTTTGACCTACTGCACATCGAAAGAATTCTGACATTTGCAACTTTATTGTGAAAAACTCCATTGACCCATTTGTTATAATAAGAACAAAGAGCTTGCGCTTTTCTTGGGACTGAATCCCTTGGTCAGTTGTGCGCCAACCAATTGCTGTGTTTGCATTTCCACATGCTCCAAAACTATATTCAATCCCTTCCTTGAATAACCCCTAATACTGCTGGGTGCAACTCTTGTTTTCATACAAGGCCTTAAAGAAAGGTTTCTTAGAATGGAAAATTAAAATAATTTATTTCAGACAGTAAGAGTGTGTCTGATGAAGTCTTATTATATAGGAGAAAAGCCAACTTTTATTCATCAAATGTTTTCAACTGACATTGTCTTTCCAAAGTTTTAGATAATGATAACAGAGTTCATTGTCACTAATATTAAATGTATTACGCTGAAAATTTCCCACAGACTGGCAAAAAAATGTCTGCTGACTGGTGCTGGTCTGTGCTGGACCATGGGTTGGGGAACACTGCATTAAATGTGATGTTAACTAGCTTACCGTCATTCTCGGTTAATCCCCAGCCAATAATAGTGATATTCAGACCCTCAGGATTGGAACCTGGTGGTGCTAATTCTATTGCTGAAATATTTGGCGTGAATTCCACTTTCTTCACCATCTTAACCAACGCCAAGTCGTTCATTGTTGGGCGTGCAACATATTTTGGGTGTACCTTGAGTCCATTGGTCATATCCGATTGTTCTTCATCTATCACCCCACTGCCATCCCGGCCATCAATCACGGTTGACAATATTCCCAGAAAGTATCGTACACTCTTGACTGTTACTGTTTCCCCACTGTTAGCACATCTGCTTGATGATGGGGATACAAAGAAAATACAGTGAGACCAGAAGATGCTGATGTAATTCATCCATCAAGAGTGTCCATAAAAGTCAAAATGTCCCAAAGTTGAGTCCCAATTCCACACAGACTTACAGCACATTATATAATTTTAATCGGTGTTTTATGGAAACAATATTCATCAGAATTCTATTTTTAAAATTGCCTGCCATTGAAAATGATTCGGTCAATAGCTTTCACCTCAATAAGAATATATTGAGCATTGAATACTCTACCTCTGTACAGTATATTGAAATTTTGGCATCTTTAAAATAAAATTCAAGTTACAAAGAGAGAAAGAAGTCCCTCTTTGCTATAAGTATTTTTTCAATTATCTGAATGGATGGGAAAATAATGGGGAGAAATACCAAAAAATTTTCTTACATAGATCTTAGGGCTGGAAATTATATGTTTTTTTTTGTTGCAAAAACAGCTGACTGGAAAATTTTCATAAAATGTTTTCAAACTCTATAAATGTTCCTTGAAAGGTTATGTATGGCACACACGGTAATCAAAAGTTCTCGTTTTATGAAAAAATGCAGTTAAGCACCAATGTGGCAGCTATACAGGTGGTCCCCTGCAATTTGACATCAACCAACCTGCAATTTGATGGTCAAATTTGCAGGGAGGTGGACTTGCAATTCAAGCCTTGGCCTGCAATTTGACCTCCTTTTTTCATAATTTTTGTGCTTTGTACAGTGGTACCTTACACTATGAACGTAATCCATTCTGGAGCTACGTTTGTAGTATGAAACGTTTGTACTGCAAATCATGATTTCCCATAGACTTCTATGGGAAATCATTTAATTTGTTCCCAATTTCTGAAAAATTCAAAAAAATTCAAAAAAATTCAAAAAACGTCTGTTTGTTTCCATAAAAGCAATTTTAGCACTCATTGAGCATTACCCCACATGTGAAACATTAAACCTATGATCCAAACTGTTTTGAAAAATATTAAGACAAAACTTATTTTTGAAAATGGGATTTAAACTCAGTTTTCTTTTTATGTGTGCATTGTAAGTTGAAATCTCTTCCAACATTGTTCATAAGGGGGTTTTGCAAAATAGTTTTAAAATTAGACTTTAATTTGAATAGTTTTGAAAATTTGGGGGAAAACCAGATGAAACTCCAATTTCAAAGACATTTTTCATCTCAATATTTTCAGGAACTGTGGATTGCAGGGTTTAAAATTATTCTAAAGCAGTTAGGATCACAGCAAAACAAATCTTTGGAAAATGGGGGTTGCTTTGAGCATAACCATTTCAGAAACAATAAATGTTTTTTAAAATCTAAAATTGACTTAAAACAACATTTCTGAACATTTTTGGGAAAAATCCAGGTGGACTCAAAATTCAAGGAAAATTTGCATCTCAATATTTTTATGAAGTGTGAATTAGAGGCTTTAAAAATTATTCTTAGGCAGTTATGATCACAGCAAAAGATCTTTGGAAGTGGGGGTTGTTTTGAGCATAACCCCTTAGATTAAAAAAAAATGCATTGTTTCTAAGAGGGTTATGCTCAAAGCAACCCCCACTTCCAAAGATTTGTGCTGTGATCATAACTGCCTAAGAATAATTTTTAAAGCCTCCAATTCACACTTCATAAAAATATTGAGATGAAAATTGTCCTTGAAATTGGAGTTCCACTTGGATTTTTCCCAAAAATGTTCAGAAACTTTGTTTTAAGTCAATTTTTCAGAAGTGTGCATTTCAGGGTCAAGAATGGCTTCCAAAGAGTTTATGCTAAAAAGTATTCAAAATAGGTTTTCCTTTTGATCTCTTAGAGATTGTGACCTGCTGGTTTAAAACATTTCCTCTGTGGACTTATACAATCCTCACATGAAAATTTCCTTTACAATCAGCTTTGCTTTGAGGATAACCTTCTTTGAATCAATGTGGATTGATGCTCCAGACCTGCTGATCAAGATGTGGATTGATGGTTTAAATCATATTGCTCCCAAGGGGTTATCTAATTTCGTTTTTAATAAACTTTACACAGACGAAACTCGTATTGGTGTAGTTTAAAAAGTTAACGTAGACTCTCCAATGATAAGTTTCGACTGTGTAAAAGTTTCTTTTTTTAGCTTACATCTTAAGCCCTTTAGACAAAATGTGAACCAAATTGTGGATTTATGTTTTAAACCTGTGACTGTGTTTTAAACCTCTGAATTATAATTTGAATTCCAGGGGTTTCTCAAAGTAAAATCAATTTTCAAAGAAATTTTTGCTTTGAGTATAGCCTTATTGAAACAAATATGTTTTAAACCTGCAATCTACTCTCTCTAAAAATTTAAGTGGAGACCTAATAATAAAACTGTTAATTTATTTTAGCAAAACCCCCCAGATGCAGTGCTTTAATGAATTTCAACCTGGTAGAGAAAATATTCCTCAAAAAGTGGTACAGTATTCATTTGGATTTTTTTAAATAATTTTTTGGGATTGCTAATTAAAATTTTTTTTCTATCTTAAATAATATAAATAGCTTCTCAATTGAATATAATTATGGTGGATGATTTTTTCTGATTTTTCCAAATTTTTTAGAGCCTTTGTAGAAATATTTAAAAAATTTTGAATTTTTGAATTTTTCAGATTTTTTGTGGAAAAAAAAGTTTGTACTACAAATTTTGTTCATAATACCAGGGTGAAAAAAATGATTTTCCTTAAAAAAGCGTTTGTTCTGCAGAACGTTCTTTTTACAAGGAGTTTGTTCTGTGAGGTACCACTGCACTTATATTTTTAAATTTCACAGAGTGTCTCACAATATGACCAATTTGCAATTTGACCCTAGTTGGGCAATGGATTATAGGGTTGATTTGCAACGTTCCACCTGTACAGCCAAATTCCATCAAAAAATTAGAAAGCTGGGCTTGAAGAAAGGTTTCTCAGAATGAGAAATTGCAATAATTAATTTCAGCAGGTGAAAATTTTTCTGAAGGGTTATCAGGAAGAAAGCCAACTTTCATTTATTCTTAGTTTGAACTGCCAATAATGTCCTTCCAAAATTTTGCATGAAGATGATTGACTTCATTGCAACTTTTAATGATTTTATTGTAACCTGCTTGTGCAGTTGCGTCTGGAAAGTGTTGAATATATAAAAGGTACCCACGCATGTTGTACATATATTCATTGTGAGTCTGGCATTGACTGAGTAATACAGAAAAATATGTTTCACACTCTAAATCAAGAAGTTGTGTTTCCTTTCTAAAACCCTGGCCATAAGAACTAAATCTTCTTGTTGAATGTCTGATAGAATTTATGTTCTCTAGACTAATCTATCTTTTGGAAGAAGACATTCATCCTTAATTGAAAGTGTCTTAAAATAAAATTCTTAGCTGATTTGGACAACATTAATATCTGCAGAAAATTTATTGCATACCAGCAAAACACTTTTGCAGACACCAGAGCCAGTCCATGGACCATACCATGGGTTGGGGATCACTACCTGCATGGGGAAATTGGTGCACACTGGGGATATGTCTGTAATTCTACACAGTGACCCTGCTGTGCGTGAAGTGTACCAAACTTCTTCTTTTGTAAATGTATATCCCTAATGTGCACCAATTGTGTGTTGACACCAGTATTACTCAGGGTCACATTTGTAAACAAATAAGTTACAGCAAGGTTACAGTTGGTGCATTTGTGTGATACTCCTGTTATGTCACATTTGTGCACCAAATGTAGCCCTGGAATGGTAGCAAAATTTCATCAACGTAGGTGCATGCTTGTAATCCCAGAATAGCCCATGTACACAAGTTGTGACCCCAGTGGATGTGCACCATCAGTTGTGGTGTCACACAAAAAATAGCTCCCCATTTGGGTAGTATATATACAATACATTCACTCTCAATAATTACTCAAGGCATATTGTATTTCTCACAAATCCTCCATTCTTCAAGACAGCATTTGATTGACAAACTCACTCATAGGTGACGCAGTGCGCAGCCGTGAGGATGATCCTTTCGGAAATGAGAGATCCGCTGCATTTGAACCCGATACCTCTGTCATCCATCTGCAGGTACGCCATCCAAGGTGCCTGGGTTCTGTTGCGCACCTTGGTACCAGAATAGATGACCGGCGAGTCGTAGTCTTCCATCATCGCAGGTTTAGCACGGACTGTGATTCCCACCTGGTGCACGATGAGCAAACCCAAGACCCAGCAGTACAGAGGATAATGCACCATCACAAAAGACCGTCTTTCTGACATTCTTATTTTCGGGCGCGAGCAGCAACAGCTCAGAATTGCACTTGACAAGTTGACAGTGACAGCAGTAAAGGCGAAGTGAGGATTTCTCTTCAACTTTGAACAGGATGAGAAAATGTTGAAGTACCTATGCAGTACTGTACTAGAAAGTTACCAGCAGGATCCCGCAGTACTTCAGCAAGGCGTTCAGTAATGGCGCAATTCTCAAATAGGCGCGTGACGCAGAATTGCGTTGCTATCTATCTACGTCACGATGTGGTGGATTATCTTTAGCACAAAAACTTTCTGCTGTAGAATAAATCAAGAAATTGGAAGTTGACTTAATATATGATGACCTTATTGATCATCAAAATCAGCTTGTCCAAAGTGATCCTTACCAAAAGGGAATAAATTGTCAAGTCAGGGAGGGAAAAAGCCCATGGAGAAATAAAATTAAAAATTTTTGATCAAAAATTTCAATTGTACAGTCAAACCCTGTTAAGATGCTTCTGATAAAGTGCCACCCTTGGCAACTGTCATGGGTCCATTGGATCCCAGACAAAGGAATTGAAATGTGCAGCCATCAGAATGCAAGCTTTGAATAAGAACTCAAACTCTTTTCAGAGGAGTTCATTCTCATTGCTCAGTTCATCAATTGGCTGTTTAAGTCAATGTTTTAATGGCAGAGTTAATGGTTAGCTCAGAATCATGATTGATTAATTTAATTTAGGTGAAAAGGCCCTTTAACACTAGGTTCTGACTTCTCCTCTCAAAGAGGAATGAGGGCTTTTATAGCCAGGTGCTTGGACTGGGTCAGGAAGAAATCAGGTAATTTCTTCCTGGCTCAGGATTGGCCGATTCAGGCAAATTTAAGAAGTGATAACCACTTTTTGTCCTTGAGTGAGGCTCAGTGAGTCTTGCCAAAATGGGATTTTTGCAAGGCTCACTGGTCTTGGAAATGTAACAAGTTTTTGGGTCTGGTTTCAACCCCATGCTGGAGCTGCGTTGCTTTGGGCCATAACAGCACCTGCCAAAATTTTGAATGAAAGAAATCTCCTTGTCCATGTTAATTCCACCTTAAATTCTATAGCAAACCTCAATTATAGATGCCAACTGCCATCCACCAGGATTAGTGATGAAACAAAAGTGCTGTTCTTTGTCTTTGTTACAATGCCAACATTGGGTAGAATTATAATTTCTGTCAAGGATCTTGTATTTGTAAGAATAAAAAAATAATAATGATAATATTTTTGAAAAATGTGAGCAACATATTGACCTATAATCTTGAGATTTGAATAAATTGATGCAGAAAAATAAATTTTCTGAAAGAGTAATCTATTGATCACAGCAATACTCTTTGGAAAATTACTGAAGTTTATAGAAAACCTGTATCTCTTTGACTGATGGAAGAAAATTGAGTATTTTTGATGAAATAATTTATTATGAAATACTTGATAAACTGCCAACCCCTTTAAACCAACAAAATTGCTCTGGGCGTATGGTGACATCTTATCATGCAGGGTTTGACTGTAATTCCCCCTAGGGAATTTTTCTGGAATACAAATTCACCTTGTGCTTCTCATATATGTTTTTATTGTAACAGAATTTTCAAGAGAAAATGATCTGTATAGTTACTGATGGTTCCTTTTGTCTGCATTCAAAACAAATATTGCATTTTACAAAACATTTCTGTAGCTCTGAAAAAATTGATATATTCCAGTAGGTTCCTAGGTCAAGTTTGTAATTCCAAAGTTGTTCACTTTCAGCAATCCAAAAACTAGGTTTTCACTGCATGAAATTTTGAAGCAAAGTGAAGTTTTGTCAAGTTCTGCAGATGTGAGGTTTTCTTTTGTCCTGGTTTTTTGTGCCTGTTTTCGTGGTCATTCAGGTGAGTGTAAGTGAGAGTTCAAATTTGAGGGTACATATGGATGTGTATTTGTAGCTCCAGAGTTGGTCAACCTCTCATGTTCCCTGATAGCCTTTGCATTTTTGACTTTGAAAAAATGCAAAAGCTCTGTATGTGTGTTTTGAGAAATGATACATTTGCAAATTAGTCACATGAATCTGGTTTTCAACCGTATATAAGGCAGATTCTTGCAATGAGTTGTTGATCAATTGGAGATGAGCTCAAAAATCTTGGAAGAAGTTACCTGATGCTCTCATCACTGAATATGCAGAAGTCATCAGCATTTTAAAAAATGAGACAAATTTATATATAAATTTACTACCATAATCTAGATAAATTAGCAAATGCAGTGGATAAATTGGCATTGAACATATTCCACAGAATTGAGTTCCAAAATTATTATTGCATTTTAAAGTGTCAAGTCTCTTCTTGTGTCTTTTATTTGAGCTACAGTATTGTTTCCCATATTGACACCCACAAAAAGAACAGTTTTATTTCCCCCCCCCCTGGTCAATTTTTAACACAAAAACAAGATTACTTTTTGGACTTCAAAAATTTGACATGCTGCAATGTTTGCTTGAACATAATGAACAGTCTATACTTTTATGGAATTAAAAAAAAACTGTCAATAAAGTTTAGGATTAATATTGATGCATATAAATACTTGATGAATAAATTTTACCATTGTTTAGCATGTGAACATTGATGAGCAGCACAGTTTTTCATGTACTGACTTTTCATCTACCAAAGATTAACTTTCCCTGCCATAAGTTCTACAAATCATAACATTCCATTGGATGTGTTCTAAACGGTACCGGGTCATCCGCCGGTTGGTCAATTGGCGGTTGCGCACCTGCCGGTTGTCAAGCGCTGGTCGGTCCAACCGCCAGCCAGGGCAGTTCTTGGCCTTGCCAATCCCCAGTCCACCAAACCGCAGTTTGGTCACCCAATTGTTGGGGCACCGGAACAGTTTGGTGAGAAGAATCATGCTGATTCTTTCTAGAATTTGGTAAGCAGAATGGTATCCTACTATAGATTATTTTTTTTACAAAATTTCATCTTATAAAAATTTTTACAAAAAGAAAGAAAACTTATCAAACCCAACCTAACTTATCCTAACATATCCTAACCTAACCTAACATATCCTAACCTAATCTAACCTAACCTAACCTAACCTAACCTAAACTAACCTAACCTAACATTGCTGAAATTTTGAAGAAAAAAATCTGTGGTAGGATACCATTCTGCTCACTGAATTCTGAAAAAAAAAATCAGCCCGATTGCTCGAGTGCCCTGACAATTGGGTGACCAAACCGCAGTTTGGTGGGCTGGGGATTGGGGAGGCCAAGAACTGCCCTGGCTGGTGGTTGGACCAACCGGCGCTTGACGACCGGCAGGTGCGCGACCGTCAATTGACCAGCCGGCGGCTGACCGGACACGCTTGAATTGTTCATGTCTCAAATTGTCCTTGTCTAAAATTGTCCTTGTCTAAAATTTTCCTTGTCTCAAATTGTCCTTGTCTCAAATAGTCCCTGTCTTGAATTGACCCTGTGTCAAATTGTCTCTGTCTCAAATTTTCTGTCTCCATTTTTCAAGTCTTGAATTTTCTGCCTTGATTTCTCTGTATCCTATTTTAATGATACACACGTTGCATGAGGCAGTCTCTGTTTGATTGCGTGAAAGCTAGCAGCATTAAAAAAACATTTGAAAGAGTTGGTCTAGGATTGTTTTGCATGAAAAATTAATTATGAATAATATCTCATTGTTAAAATTTTGTTTTAAAAAATTGCAGGAATAGGCCAATCTTACTGCTCCTAGATAATAGAACACTCCCCGAGGCATATATGGATTGAATTTTCCTGCCAATGCGGGCAAAAAAAAAAAAGTTTTCAATTTTTTTCACTGTACTGTGTAGCATAAAAGTATGCTCAGGGGAAATTGTGAGTAACCCCTCGACCGCACAGTTGAAACCGATGCTCGGAAGTATTCAGCAAGAACCAAACCATCTTAAAAGATGAAAATATACAGCATATGAGTAGTTCAAGATATGCCATCGAAAATGACTCACTCGGCAAACACATAGCCATGAACTCTGGGGCGAAACGGAAGGAATGCGGAGGAAGGACTAAAATTTCGACGCCGGGCCGTCTACTAGCAGCGCATCTGCCACCCGGTGCTTATGACCCAATTTGCATCTTGAAGTGACACAAACGCCGGGATTTCCACACCCGCTGGGGCTTTTAATAACCCTGGTGTCGCGTGGAGAACGCGAGGGAAAAGCAGGAACAAAGTATGCGCTTGATTCTAGGGGCGATTCCCGTGCAGTGAGCCAAACAACGATGCTTCTTCCGAAAAACCCAGTACTACTATTTTAGGAATGGGTTGTAAGCGCTCGCGTGTCTACTTGGGAAGAGTGAAGTACACGCATCCATTGCATGCCAAATCGATCATCCATGAATAGATTCGCATGCATTTAGTCTGTTCAATTTCGTATGCTGCCCTCCTCTCAGTATTGTCACCGCGGCGTCGAATCTTCCCCGAACCATTCTGCGTCAAGCTTTACTTTCTTTGAAACTGTATTCAGGAATCGCGAAAATGATGAAAAAAAACATTACATGACTGGCTTATTTAAATGCGTCTAGGTCCAGGGAAACCGTCGAACTAACTCCAAACATCGATATAACATGCAGGACTTAATAGTGCATGTACAGCATTTATTGACACCTTGGAAATTCCGCACCTTAAAATGATATCACCAGTTATAAATTTTCATTTTATTTCCAGACTTATCTGATGCCTGCAAGCATACGTACACGCAGTGATTGATCAGCGGAGGTAAGAAATCTGTCAAGTTCAGTTCTATTGTGCTGCATTCACTCGTACATTTCAGAGCAATTTTTTCAACCAAGTGCTGGAGGGAAGTATTGTACCTGGAAAGAATATGACAGTACTCTATATCAAATTCAAGGAAAAGAAGGATAATTTTTTTTTTACTTAAAAATCACCGAAAGAAAGGTGGGCCCGTGTCTTTCAAAATGTACGGTCAAACATTCAAAATGTGTCTTTAAGAAGTGTTGAGCCTCCATGTGGGGCTTTTGCACAAGAACCATCCATATTTCGGCCATTTTATTCTGCTCGTTGAACGTTATTAGCTGTTTTTAAGCAATTTCTCAGATGTAGACTCCAGTATTCCCCAACCTTTTTAGACCCGAGAAACCAGCCAAAATTTCCATAAGATTTTTCGCAGACCGGC